ATATATATATATATATATATATATACTGTATATATGTGCGCGTGTGTGTAACAGTGTTTCCTTACAGTTATTCAAGGGCTCCCTGCCCTGTCAACAGAACCATGTGCCGTGCCTTCACACACAACTCCCCCACCACCATCGACAATTGCCAGTACTGACATAGTGCTAAGCTGGTGGTGCTCCTGAGCCCTTGAGCAAGGCCCTCAACCCTCACCATCTGCTCTCAAACAGCTCTCGTGAAATATACAGTTATGCTAGCTAAAAAGCTACAGACGTAGTGCTCCGCTTCTCTCCTATACACAACTGTCAGCACGTATAGCGCTAAGGTTTTCTCTAAGTTTGAAACACAGACGTGTGTGTCTCCTGCCAAGGCAAGTGACGTAAGGGAAACGCTGTATATGCTTATTAGTTTCCTCTAATGATTTGGGTGACTGAAGATTAAACTATGTTGACCATGGCCATCCCCTGGCTCCACCATTGCACCTGGTGGTGGATAAAATTTCTCCTTAGTTTCATCAGGATCCCTCACTCTGCAGGAAAAAAATAATGAAAAAAACACAGACAATATTCCTCTATTCTTACACACAGTGTAACTCCTAGCCACTTGAAGATCTCGCACCAGAAACAATGTTTACATTTCCTGTTCAGTTCCAGAAAAAATAGTGTTGAAAACTACAAACATTCACTATATTCTATAAATCCCTCAACAACAGGGGACATTGTCGTACCGCTTGTTCAGATCTGGCTTCCATTAGGAATAAACGTTCCATGTGGTGTTAAAAGAGAAATGAAGCTGGGAAAAGACAAAAGTTGAGTGTTTGAATTCTTCTTTCAGACGCTGCTCGCTACATTCCACACTGTGGTAAGTTTATGGCTACGTTCTATTTATTGTTCTATTTATTGTTATAAAGTTTTACAAGGCAATAGCCTATGCTAGGTTATCCAAACGTTGGTTTGCTAACTTGAGAGGCACGTAGCTAATGACAAGCAGGTTGGAGGATTGAAGATAATTTATTGTTGATTTGTTTTACAGATCAGTTCAAATAAATTTACCATGCTCTCCAAAAAAGTTCAATCTGGTCCTCTGGACATTCAAAAAAACAAAAAACAAAGCAAAGCAAAATAATGTAGAAACGTTTCGTCTCTCATCCAAGAGACTTCCTCAGTCTGAGGTGCTGTATTCAGCTCAGTCTCTTAAATAGCACCTTCTCAGAGTGGATCAACCAGTTTGCTGCTGACAACCAAAACCAGCTGATCACATGCTCAAGAAGGACCATCAGCCTAACAATGGATCATTAGCACACTGATGGCTGTTTACTATTCACAGGGGGCTGAGTGATACTAGCAATCACAGCATTGTAAGAGGGGGACAGTTGAAC